CACTGACACCACCCTTGCTTTTTTTTTTTTTTTGTAGAAACCTCTGCTGCTTTTTGCAGAGACCTCTTCTGCTTTTTGCTCTCTTCATTCAGTAAGCTTTATCTGCGGATATACGCATGATGAATCCCGTTTGTTTCTGGGGGTGAAAGATACGGCTCGTACACACTCTCTTGCTTTTCATTGTCTAAGTGACAGGGAAGAAAAACCTTTATTTTCCAGCAATTCTGTCTTCTTAACGTATTGACAGGGGTTTGTGTAGCTTTACTGTAAAGAGACAAAGTTAGGCGGGCGATTCCGCTGTTTGTACAGAGAAGGCTTGTGCATGCATTTCACCCACATGTATGTTTCTTTATTTTCCTTTTTCCTGCAGTTCTCTACATCCAATGATTTTCTTCATTCTCCAAAGTTGTGGCCCTCTCAAGGAGTACCAGTCAGCGATGAGTTATTTTTTAGTAGAAAAAGACCTTCGAGGAGTTTATTTCAGAGTAGTATAGATTGTAACTCTGAGCATCCTTCTGTTTGTGCCGGTAAGTATCAACACAGAAAAGTGTTTGCTCGCGTTTACAAAATAGATTTAGAAGAACCTGAGCATAAATTTGTGGCTTCGTGAGTATGGTTTATCATTTGGTGATCATTTGTTTTGCTATTTATTTTCATTTACTGCAAAGAGTTGAGCGCTAGGCACGGGGCCATGCCCGCAGCCGAAGCGCGCGGCAGCAGTCCCACCCGCGCCGCTGGAGGAGCGTGCGCCATCGCAGAGCTTAGGCTGCTCCTCTCCAGTCCTGCTCTGCACACACGGGTTTTCGCTAGTTTAGGGAGACCCAAGAGAGGTTATAGATCAGCTTTTTTGCAGACAGCAAGACCAAAAAGAAATAGCGTCGTTGTGTGAACAGACGCATTGAGCAAAAGGACTCGGGATGTCCCTGAAACGTAGAGCTTTCTGCTGCGTTTGCAGAATTAGGAAAAAGAAGTGCCACGTAGGTCAGCAACAGAGTAGTTCAGCCGGCATTCTTTCGCACTGTAAAATACAATATGAATGCAGATAAAGCAGTAAATTAAAAGGATACACAGAATGTTAGTGACGTTTGAGCAGGAATATGTTGTTGGCTAGAATAGCAGCTTGTTATCGTAAAAGGTATGCTGCCAAGAGGCAGCTGATCGTGGCGGCAGGGTGTGAAATACCATAAACTGGACAGCATGTTGGGAAGGTCGTGTTTATGTATGGCAGGCTGTTCAGGAGAGCAGACAGTGCGTATCTATTCTAGATTTGCACATTTTCTCCTTTTACTTTGTGGAGAAAGCTGTCTGAAGAGTGAGCTCTAAAGATTGTTTTAAAAAATGAAAAACCTGTTTTTGAAAACCAGGTCTGTAGGAGATTTGCAGGTATAGCGCTCCACTTAATTTCTGCAAGCAATAGACTGAGTGATTTGTGTTGCAATAGCTGAAAGGCGTGTGAAAGGACTGGGCAAGACCAGGCCTGGTCGTTTCTCCTCCCTTGGCAGGAGGTTACCCTCCGGGCCTTGAGGAGCGCCGACGCGCGCGGCATGCCGAGGGTACGTGCTGCTGTGCCGGGGGGGACGCCGCTCTAAGGAAACTCGCTGCGTTCTGGGGTTCTGAGATGTTGTCTTCCGTTCATGGTCACGTATTCAGAGAGGTGATTGGTTTGGGGGTTTTCTTTTGATCCCCCTGCAATTCTCGGAGTTGGAAAAGTGCCCTGGAAGAACGGCCAGCCGTTTTTCCCGTTTGTGCCTGTGCACAGTACTGTGAGGTTGCTTAGAAACCCTTGAATGAAATACTTTCCAAGTGGTTATGTTTTGCACTGAAAGATAGACAGAGTCTTAAATCGCTATTGAATAGTGTTGTATATTTTTCATTGAATGCCATGTGTCACATATTTATCTAGTTATTTGTGTTTTTCTTTTGAAAGGTGCTGTGGGCTCTCATCAGCCGCAAATTTCAGGGAAATGTGGAACGCTTGGGTACACACAGACACGCGGGAAGAGTGGTAGCGTGGACTCTGATTTACAATTTTTAGGATTAAATAACTGTCAGCAAGACAAAGGTATGTGGATTCTAACTGTACCGTAAGTCAGTGCGTGTTACTTTGAAAATGCCTCTTTATTTCAGTGCTGCTTTAAGAAGTAAAAGCTGTTACGAAAACGTTGTTCAGTCCCTATTCAGCCGTATTTGTGCCTCGCTCCTGTGTAGTGCCTTTCGTTCGTGGTTATGAGTTTGCAGCCCACAGCTTTGGTATCTGACTATATCAGTGCGCTATATAAAAAGTAGTGCTCTACCAGAATCTGAACTTTTTTTGAAAAATTGATATTTAGAGTTCTGTTAATGGTATAGATCAGCTCGGTCCAGCCTGTTTAACAGCAAGGGCCAGGCGGGAGCCTTGTCCCTCCGAGACAGCAGGACAGCAGGAGCGAGGGCAGGGGAGGCACGGACGCTGGCTGGGTGCATGAAAAGCTCTTAACTCTCACATCATTGCTTTAATTTGTGGTGGTCTCTGTGCAGCTTTTACTGGACAGGTATCCAGGGCGCTGCTATGTCAGGCGGCGTTTGCTGCTAGTTTCAAAAGTGAGGCTAGGGATTTGATTGAGTGCACCTTAACCCTAGAGGTGGAGGCTGAGATAAATCAAGACCTGTAACACATAGAAACTTGTCTGTTCATTGGTAGTAATAATAATAAAAATGCCAGCTGTACAGCTAGTGAAGGAATAAACTCCCTGGCCAGAGGAATAGATGGTAACGATAACAAATTTGTGGACAGAGCTGCTTTGAGCGGCCCAGATGTGTTGGACAAGGGATAGAGCTGACGGCCTTCTTGGAAGATAGGTAGGAACTTCACTTACTCAGTTTACTTCTAGCCACTTACGGGCTCTAGATGCTGTGTTTTTCTCATGCTTGTGGAAAGAAAGGAGAAATTTCCTCTTTGTTTTTTTGCCTCTGTAACTACAAAGTCAGTGTTCTCTTTTCCTGGCCTTGGTCTTCAGAAGGCTGCCAGGTACTTTGCCCTCACTTGCTGACTTATTTCTCTGCAAACAGTTTTTGTGCCAGGCATTATTGATACTTGAGCCTTTCTCGGGTAGTGCAACCCACACCTGAGTTGGTTGTCTCACTTTTGCTGCCCCGGGATGCCCGGGGAGCACCGGGGTGCTGCAGCCCTGGAAAGCAGCAGGAGCAGAAGGCAGAGACCTTGGAGCCATCTGGTTTGTAAAGGGATTTTTTTATCCTATAGCTAAAGGCATAATTCAATGGTTTTCTTTGGATTGACACAGACAATTAATAGGTTCCCCAAGCCCGACTCACCCTGTCACTTGTTCTCCCTCCTGCGCTGTGCTTTCCCATTCTCCCAGTTGTGCCGGTGGAACTGGTTGTGGGGCCGTGCTCTCGGTGAGGTGGCTGAGGTAGCCCACCTTACCTTACCACCTTACAATGATCCTTCCAGAGGCTGTCCGGAACTTTGTTAAAACTTGTCCTCCTTTTCACTGGCATGGTTAAAAGCTTGAGGGCGTGCGGGGAACATGCATCTGCTTTTCACAGGAAACAACTAAAACAGTCTAGTTCCAAATCTACACTTATCTTTCCATTTTTGACCTCCTGGTTTCTGGGAAAAAATAATTTTTCGATTTTTTCTTTTTTTTTTAAGGAAGTAGAATTTATAACATTTGTGCTTTATTTGTACTCTTGTATCACTGAGTTTTGAGAGTGGTGTTTTCAAATTTTATGCTGTGCAGACTTGGAATACAAAGCAGCAAGCAATAGAACCATGTTCAATCTACTTGCATCATTCATTTTTTTAAATTTAATTCTTCAAAACATGACTGCAAAATAGCTTAGGCTCAAACTCATTTGGTCAAACGCAGAAAAAGGAAATTGGTATTTTGAGGGACAATGCAATTTGCAAAATGAAGTTAGCTAATTTTCGTGTTTGCTTGGGTAAAATGCTGACCTTCGGTTTTGACTATCTAGCGGGTGTATTATTTCATTATAAATTGTTATTATAAGAGCTGTCAAAGAGCCTAATTACCACGAATAACATTCTCTCTTTCTTTGCTCAGTTTGTGCCAGCCTAAATTTTCCCAGCAAGACCCAGAGAAGTTTTTGCAATCAAGCGGAGCATACGGCGCCCTTCCCAGGTCCTAATGCAAGCCAGGGGGCCTTCATTCTGCCGTCTTACCCTCTGTCCTCTCCCAGGAGCAGCCCCAAGCACGCCTCCTCTCCAGCTGGCTCTCCAAAGAAGTCACAAGATAATACCATGAGCTTCTCAAACTCCTGGCCTCTAAAGAGCTTTGAAGGATTGCCTAAGCCTAGTTCACAGAAGCAGCTTCTCAGTCAAAAGTCAGGAGACAATACAGGTAGGAATGTTGTCAGTATAATGAAAACGGATTTCAGGTTTGCATTTTGAGTCACTTCAAGCAGTGGTCAGAAAACCTACAGTGGCAGATTAAGGGGGAATTCTGCAATGCCCCAGTTGCAATTAGAAACGTGAGGGTTTTATAGCTGCACTAGGCTAGTCACATCGCTGGCGGCGTCTTTTAAAAAGTGAAGTCTTTCTATTGTGGTAGTTTTAAATACTGGAATGTTGCCGCAAACCCTGATTTAGGATCCTGCCGACTACACCAGTTTGTTGCGAATGGGTGATTTAGAGCGCTTAAGGAATCACCAACAAAGGTATCAGCAAAAGTGGTTTTAATAAAAGGTGCGACTTAACCAAGTTTGATGGCAAGTTTCACTCTGTTAATTACTGCATGGAGGAATCATACAAAGGAAAACTGAGTTACGTGGAGTTAGAATGATTCACAGAGAGACCAAAGATGCAAAGAATAAGGGAGACCTCCCATTGAGTCACGAGGTTCAGAGTAGACCCCCTTGCTTTCTAAACTCCTAACAGGAGCTTAGGTGCGGCTAAGTCCACTCTTAGTCTCAGACTTGGTCAGCGGGGTATGTCTAATAGGGTGAGGAGGGCCCTCCCGCTGAGTCACGAGGTTCAGAAGGGAGCCCCTCGCTTTCTGAACTCCTTCTCAGAGAGGAGCCTCGGTGCGGCTGGATCCAGTCCTACTCTCAGGCTTGGTCAACGGTTCATGGCTAAGGGATTGTACGTGCCAAATTCATATAGTGTTTCACTAGCATCAATGCAGCATGCAATGAAAGTTACCAAGACAAAGTCAAAGTTACCTACTACAAGGTTATGTGCGATATCGGTCGCTTACCAAAGCTCTGCCATTGGTAAAAGGTCTCTCTGCCTCGAGGAGCGACCTTGAGAGGCGTCCCAGCTCAAGGGGAGATCACCGCCGCGCAGCCACGCTGCCGAGCAGCGAGAGCTCCAAGAAGGCTCACCTAGGCTGTCGTATTTATGGGATAAAGCCGTTGGCTTGTAGTCAAATGACATGCGATGGAAAAGGTATGCAGGAGACGGCTCGTACCCACAACTTTCTTTGTTCCTCGATAAATGAGTCTTGGAAAAGCCACCCGCTATTCATGTGTCAGTCGCGTGATCGGTGTTCCAAGCTCATATGCATCCACGCTCGCTGCGTGGCTCTGCTCCGCTGTGGGTTTTCAGAGAACAGATTGGAGCTGGAGGGGTTCACGGCCCGGCTGCCGCTCCAGCCTTTGCCTCTTCCCGAGCCTGCGCCGAACCACCGCCAGCCCGGTCAGGGGGTCGAGCGCGCCCGTCACGTCTCTTGTTCCTCTTGTCTTTTAAATATGCGAGATAAAGCATAAGATGCACCAGCTCTGCTCTTCTTATCAGTAATGTATCAGTGAAACGGTTGCCTTCAAACTAAAATAAAACCAGCCCCCAAAATCTAGCACTTTTACAGAAAGCCGATACAGAAATAACTGTTACTTTTAATACGCTAATTAGTACGTGTGCAAGAAAATGTTACTCATTGCATTTCGACTTTCTGCCTCTTTGTTTGCCTTTGGAAACTTATGTATCGAATTTCCCAGGCTCGGAATAGCTCTTTAAAACCCGGTCACAAACAGCTACATCTCTAACGAGTGGAATGGGTGCTGATTTCATCCCGATTTACACCGACAGCTAATGGCAGAGACTGCTGTTTATGGCCTGATTTCCTCTGTCTTTGAAGACCTCATGCACGCATTGGTTAACGTGAAATAGTTTTAAATTTATTTAATTACAATTGCTTAAACAATTTAGCTGATTTCTTTCAAATACTTACTAAGGGCAATCTTGTTTTAGGTTAAAAACAGCTGTAGTGTCTGTTTAGCTTAAACTGATTCCTAATCCCTCATGGGGCATGCCTTCTGTAAGCAAAGTAACAGTTTCCACGTACAATTTTGGACTGATTTGAAGAAATCTGTTTTAAAATTCATCTTCATTGAGACATATTTTTGCACATATGTAGAAAATTTCTAACTTAATTCTTTGGAAGTGTCCTGTCCCTGGAACGCATGTCATTTTATCTTGCAGATGCGTGTTCATCACTTGCTGATTTTCTTTATATTATCCATATGCATTTCGGGTTTTTTTTTGTTTCTTTAGAATAACTTCATTGTTGTTATAGCAGCTTACAGGAGAGTTTGGCAGGGCACCAGTCTTCTTTTTTCCTTAATTAAGAAAGTTAAGTACTTTTTAAAATTACTAAGTATATGTTGGTATGCATGTGCATGAAACACTGATCTATATTTTTTTAAAAGAAGGAGGCACTAAAAGTAGAAGAGATTGGTAACTGAGCTGGAAATGCAGGGAGATGAAAAAGGTAGAGTCAGGAGGTAACAGAAAATACCATGCAAGGACGCAAGTCTGGTATTTGTAGTAGTAAATAAAATTGCATGCGTAAGTATGGTTTTTAACACTCACCTCATGATAAAGGAGTTTTCCGGTGTGACACAGAAATGAGGCATGAAGTTTATTCTGGTGAGTGCTGTGTTCTGCCACCCCTCCAAAGACCCACATCTGCTTGTGTCTTCTCCAGGGGAGCATTTGCAGGAGAAACACTCTCCTCTGCAGCTGAAACCCACCCTGGTGAGGCACCCGGCCTCCCGCAGGAGCCTGAACGGGAGCAGGCCCGTGCCCCCCATACCCCGCCTCGCAAGCCCGCTGCCCGACAAGATTGAGTTAAACGTGGCGAAGTGGAGGAACGAAGAGTGCGAGGACACGTGGCTGAGTGAAGCGGATGGGAAGCTTGCAGCTGATCTTTCAGAGCTAAACGTTGATGGCGAGGAAGTGGACCAAGAAGAGGTTGGTTTAAATATGACATAACGTGCTTTTAATAGTTGATACATGATAAGCTTTTTTATTTTTTTAGACAAGAGCCAGAAAATAATAAATATTTCTGACTGAAATTTTGTGACACTGTCATCAAGGCAGCAGGTCTTCAACGAGATACCTTTGAGTGTCTGATAGAAGGTAAGTACAGCAGTAAACACTGATGCTGAAGCACACTTCTCGTGTTTGTTCCAGACATCTTGATTTCCCTTGTTTTTCTCAGAGCCAAAGTCATAATATTTTCAGTTATCGGAGTACCAAGGCAGAACTGCAGGCCTTTATACAGCTTCTGTTCTCATTATCGTGACTTCCTTTTAAATTTCATGCCGGATCTAAGTAATAATCCTTTCTTTAGTTATAACAAAGGGCCCAAAATAACAAATAACTTCCTTGATGAAGGTTCATTTGACTCAGCCCGGGAGTTTCGTCAGCCTCCCGGCTTTGCTGAAGCGGGCTCTCCCTGATACCCATGCAGCGTGTCCCAGCTCTCTCAGGATTCAGTCTTTTCTCCATGGAGTAAATGAGAAGAACTGATTTCAGGAGGTGGTGGGGAGGTGGAACCGTATCCACGCTGCCCTCATCAGCAGAAATCAAAACCACGGCAATGCTGATTGCGTGAAAGGCACAGGTATCACGTACGACTGGGTTTCCTATGATCTCCCCCGCATGACCCCGTGCAACACGTCCTTATTTCTGTCACAGCTCATAGACATTGTCTGAATCTCAAATCCTGTCTTTAGTCCCTGTGGATCTGAGAACAGTTGCAGTAGGACTTAATGGCTTTGCCTTGCTATCTTTGTATTCCATCCTGTAGTCACTACTGAAGGTAATTTAGGTGCTAAACAGATGGGGAATAATTTTTTTTACATCAAATATATTCAGTAAAAAGAGGAGAGAATATCAGCAGGGCCCTAGTCATTATAGATTTCCCTGCTTATTTGAGTAGCTCTGTTCGCTAGGCACAGTTTTCAGGATTCACTTCTGCATATTTTGCGTCTTTGTGCAGTTCAGATGTGAAAAGCCTGAGGTCCCAATTGTGTGTATGAGCAGCCGTCAAGTACTTTCTTTAGTCTATTAAAAAAGGTAAGAGCAGCTGATGTATTCTTGTGGGAATCTGTTGTTGTGTTTTGCAAAATGAAGCTAGGATACAGTGCCTGCCAGAATTTGCATTTAATAGCACGATGATTCTTGTGAAGCAAAGCAGTGAAGGGGATCGTTATGATACTGGATAACCTATGTAACTATTCAGTCACATTGCCCAACAGAGGCACGTGCACTGAACTCCCGTGAACTGAGCACTCAGAAACATACCTTCTTTTGTGTAAAAAAGCTTTTTTCCTCTGCAGTGAATAAAAACTGTCATTTTGTTTTCACTCCTGCTTAGATGCAGAATTCACTTAGATCTCTACGGAACAGTGCGGCCAAGAAGAGGGCAAAGCTAAGCAGCAACATCTCAGATCTTGAAAGTCCTGATTCTGCTCTTAAACTGGATCTGTCCGCGGATTCCCCCTCCCACGCTGCCTCCCCGAGCGCGGGCTCTTGCAGCGAAAGCGGGGTTTACAGCCAGGAGTCTCTGACCTCGTCGGTGGCCGCGGTCCCCCGGAGAAGGAGAATAACGTGAGTGCAACTCCTGTGCTGACTCCGCTTTGAAAGTCTCACACGCAGTCTCTGCTGGTGTTAGTTAAATATTAAAGGGAGTGAAATCTCTAATATATATTTTATATAAGGTTGCTTTGCTTAATAGCTTGATTCTTATATGTGAATTATTTTCCTATCTAAAACCACATTGCTCTACACAATAGCTGCTGAATTATATTATTCTTGCTTGTGCTGGCTTTTAACTTGAAGGAGCTCCCTGGTGCAGCCACAGTAGCAGCGCCGTTGGTGAAGTATTGCCAGTGGTGGTAAATATTTTATTAAGACGTTAGCCTGCCACAGAAGGTATGTGAACCAGAGCCTAAACAAATGAGTAAGAAGGAGAATGAGTTAAGTGGAAGGATAAAGTTTGCTTATTATAGCCTGGAAATTGAAGAAGGAATGGGTTGGTTTTTTGCAATAAGAGGAAGACAATGTAGATGTTTCTTATTATTGCAAATCATGAACTGTTTCCATTTTATTTCTGACAGGCTATTGATAATTTAAAATGCCTTCACAGAGCTTTTCTAAAAAGAAATTGTGTGATGACACATGCTACTCTGATTGTGAAGAGCAATGACCCAGTTGGTGATGAGCAGTATAAACTATTTTATTCTTTAATGAAATTAAAAAGTATTTGGGAATTTTTGCAAATTTTGCAGTACAGAATCTCCTTTTCTGCTCTTGGAGCCCATGATAAAGCTGCTTGTAGCTCTGATCCGAAGATATCTTTTATTTTTGTGTATACTAAATGCATCTTTATGTAACTGGAGTACAACTGTATTAACAAACTAGGAAGGAAGAGAGGGAATATACAAAAGAAAGGTTTTTGAGACGGGGGAGACTGGAATGATTCAGAAACAGAGGATTTTCACAGCTGTGAAGTCTCAGGACTAATTTATATGTATGTATCCTCCCTATATGCATTACTGCTGAATCACAGTTTTAAAAATAATCTTTAAAATGAAAAATGCTAGAATACCTAAAAAGTTAGGACTATAAAATTCTGTGTGTGATGTTCTTCCAGGCAAGGTTTCGACTAGGACAGATTCTATGCAACATGCCATTTCCATGAGTCAGTGGCACACAAGCTTAATTTTTTACAGGGTTCAAAGACACAGGAATTCTGAACTAGCAAGGAAGAGAGGGGACATCTGGCAGGAAGACTGAATTTGTAGAAGTGACAAAATATATCCCAGAAGACCTTAAAAGCCTTGGAACGTTCGTAAAAATTTCAGAGAGTTTAGTTCAGATGCTGGTTTGCGAGCACTGGAAATTGGCATTTTCTGTTCACCAAATCTGGGTAGTTGGGCAACAAGAACATAGGCTTCTTCGGTCTTGGTGCCTTTTAGAAGGGTCAGTTTATCCACTGATAAAATACTGTGAGCAATGGGAGCTTGGTACTAGCGTCGTCAGTCCCCTAGGCCAAACGATACCTTAGCTTTTCAAATGTATGCTAAATTTAGTCCTAGTGTGAAGCTTACTCTTACGGGTCATCTTTATGGTGTTCTTCATAATGGACCTGCTCATCAAGTCACTTCTATTGAATTCATTTTCTTTTTCTACTCAGTGTGAACATTTGTGGAAGCGTACTGGAAATATTTGTACACCAGGTACACTGGGGAGGAGAAACTGATGATGTCTTTGCTACAAAGTGTTATTTAACTGGGCTCTGACTGATGTGCAGAATTGTATTTATAAAAATTTGTTTTATATTTTAACAGGTCAGACACCTTTCCACTACTTGGCAGCAAATCACAGCCTGCAAGAGTATCTTCAGCAAGAAGCAGAGAGCCGAATGTGGCAGGACATAACTCCAGCACAGGTATTTTGCCGTGCATATCAGCATATACCCTGCTTCATTGAGGTAACGGAATGGGTGCTTGATGTGCCTGTTCTTAGGTGATCAGTGAGCTTATGTCCCTTCAGCACTTAAAAAAAAGTAATTGCTAGATGCTCTTTGGTCAAATGGAGGTTATACTGTGGTACTGCAGGTGAGAAGGAACTCAAGGGTTTCTGCCTTTCTATGTCAGGATAAAAGGTGTTAATGCAAATGCCACCTGTGAGTATGTGCACTTCAAAATTCAGTGCAGTATTGTGTGAAAATTCGTTGGGCACCAGCTGGATAAGAGTAGGAAGGGTCAAAATGTTGCAAGCAGTTAATTGCCTGGTAGGAAACGGAGGTCAAGTGATGCTGTTCTCTGTTAGGCTTACAGTGAAGTACAGGTAACTGCAGGTTTCTGTAATGTGCAGAAACCGATTGTTTATGATCATTTATGTTTAATCAATTTTGATTCAACTGGATGGAGGAAGGGAGCTGAGGGAGCCGTGTCCACAGAAGTCTTTTCTGACCTCTCTTCCCAAGGACTGCTCTGTTGCATCCTTTTGCAGCCTCAGCAGCTATGTATTTTTTCCAAAAAGTTTACAAAACTTAGTTCAGTTAAGATTGGAGGGCATCTTACAGGCCTGAATTTGCAAAGCCATCACATTAAAAAAACAGTAGTTGCTACTGAGACTCATGATCTTTTTTCAGAAATTGGAGCTGTTGCTCCTCATTTTAGCTAACGCCACTTTTCTCAGGATAAATTAGCAAATAGGTTTGTCAAGTAACAGCCTAAGTCAGAAAGCAAGTTCTGCACGTACATAGTAATACACGTTGTGGTTAATGATTTTGCATTCGTTATATGAAAAGACCTTCTGTGAGAAGTTGACCTTCGGTGTACAATAAGGAGCAGCACATGTATTCAACAGAATGCACAGCCCCGGACCTCCTGCGAGGAGCTGACAGCCTGCTACTGATAAGGCCAATGGAATACAGGTGGAGCTAACTGGTGAAGAGAAGTCCTTTGCTCCCACTATTGACCAGGCTGACGTGGCCCATCACACAAGTCGAATCTCAAAAAGCTCTGAATTTTTACACTGGAACTTGGAGAGCTTGTAAAAATCGGTTTGGTATTTAACTGGTCTCATCAGATGAAAGGTTTTTTCTAACACTGAATGTAAATCCCCCTTGCTGTAACTTATCTCGTTACATTTTTATTTTATTTCGAAGGCTGGAGTATTTTCTTCTTCCAAGCAGCTACCTTTTTTTGTATTTTTCTTTCCCTCTTTCGTTTTGTGTCCTTTAGACTAACTCCTGTTTTTTCTAGCTTTCCTTCATAGGTCAAGCTTTATGGACTTCTTAACCGCTGTCATCTGGGCTGTTTTCAACAGATCTGCCCCTTTCTTGAAATGCAGTACCTGTACAAAACCCCTTGTGCACTTAGAGTGGAAAGGATAGTTATGGTTGTGGTGTTGTAAATCAGGCAAGATCAGTCCTGTCCTACCTGGTCTTGTTCTTCTTGGATCATTCTTCTACTTTATCGTGACCTGCTTGAATCCAGACCCTGTCCTCAAGCACGCGTGCACGCTTCCCATTTGCTCACCTTTATTTGAATTCAGCGTGCTGCCTCGTTATCCGGCTGTTTGGGCAAAATAATGGATCGTACCGGCTCCTGAACAGACTGCGGCAGAACCCTGCCCGATACAGCCCTCCGTTTGGAGAACGAAGCTTTTGGTAACTGCTGGGCGTACATATGCCTGGGATGATACGTGGCATCTCTCGCTTCTCTCCTGCCCACGAGTCTGTTGCTGTGTCGTACAAGGAGACCAGATTGCTCTGATCGTGCTGTTTTCTGGCGGGTGCTTCCAAATGCGCTGTTTGCCCTGGTGCAGTCCTGGGAGCTGAACTGCCCAGCACACGGGCCAGTTGTTCTCTGGCTCCTTCTTCAGCCTTTTTCTTTTCTTTAAAGAGTTTAACACTTTCTCTTTTCTGTTTTGGAAATTTATCTGTCCCTTACCTATCATTAACTTGCTAATTCAGCTCAGATTGCTTCAGCTGTTTCTCTAAGATGAATTTTATCAGCTTCTCTTAGCTTTGTTATAATAGAATGGCAGCTCTCAGGTATTCCTTACTTCCCAAGTTCTTTCTGTAACATGTAAGTTTGTGCAGCTTGTCATAGTTGACACCTTGAAAACCTGTCTGCCTGCTGGCACGCCTGTAGCTGATCTTTCCCCTGGGTCCAGACAGTTCCAGAGGCCAGAGGGTGCTGTTGTACCCAGTACAGCAATTAATCGATCAGTCCTGACGTGTGAGGTCGTAACGTTGATATATGAAACGCTGTAACAGCTAGACTTCATTGGGACAGTGCAGAAATTCATGGTCAAGGAGTTCTTGGACCTTCAGGGGATCTGGCCGTGTAGTAGCGTTCCAGAGCAGCTCACGCCAGCCCCGATCAGGGCACCGTCCGTAGCGTTCCTCGCTGGAAGAGCTTCACCATCTCCAGAATCCCGCAGCAAAACGTTCCTTTGGTTTCCATTCCCTAGCAGACCAAAGCAGCCTGCTCTGATCCGAGTTCTCAGCTGAAGAAGAGAACCCAAGGAACCTTTGTAGGGATTTCAGTACGGCTCTTGATCTCCCGCAGGCAGGGTTGGGTTGACAGTGACGGCCACCAGTGCAGACTTCAGGCCGATGGGCGCCGGCGGGCGGTAGGAGATGCGCCCGTGCCGTCCCGGCGGCGGCAGCGGGAAGCAGAGCCGCTGCCTGGTACCCCCGTAGCGCACGGGGGGACGCCGGGGTCGCTGCGGCTGCTGGGATGACTGGAGTTAGGTAGGCTGGCACCTGGGCCGTGCCTGTCGGTCCCTACAGCTAAACGTGGGGTTAGTTCCACGGGGTTTCTGCAATATGTAGTAAAAGCACGTATGTGAAAACACCTCTGTCTTTCTAGGTTTTTTAATTTTAGGGGTATTTGGAAAAGCAGAAATGATCCTTTAAAGGCTTCCTGAAGTAATTAGTGTTGTTTTTTGGGGTTTTGGTTTTTGCCTTTTTTTTTTTTTAAAACAAAACTAAAATGTATTGAGAACATTTTGCGGGCATAAAAATGCTCAGTTGTTGTTGTCTATAATTGTAACATAAAAATATGTTGTATGACTTCTAGGGTACGTAGTTGGAAAGATTTCTTGTGTTCTAACTAGTATTTTACTATTTTCGCTTAGTTGACTTATGACTTAATTTGGCTTTTAATGCTGAATCACTTAGTATTCAGTTGTTCATATTTGAAAGACTTTAAACTAAAAAATAATATTTCAAGCTTTGAGTTAGATTTTCAGCCTAGGTTTATCTGTAGAAGAAAGGCTTTGCGTGTGAAAAATGAATAGAGCCTGAGCATCTTTGTTGAAATGCTCAGATTTCTGTAGGCAAAAATGCTCATACTGTGTGCGTAAAACCAGTCTGAGGGTCTCTGAAAATGTAACTCTGTGAGAATCCTGTAGTACATAGGAAAAACTACTTCTAATTTGTTTTTAATATTTGATTTTTTTTTCCTCTTGCATGGCTAGCATTTGATGATAAGGGGACTTCTGACGTTAGCGTAGTTGGCCAGCATTTGAACTGTGGCAACGGATGTGGAGCTTATGAGGACAAGATGCAAGGCGAAGTGCCACGTACTGTTTTTAAAAGTCAAAATATGGAACACCAAAGAAATTTTAAGCATTCAAAAGGTTTGTGAGTTTGCTACGTTGCTGTTCAACTGACCTCTCACTTATAGCAAAAACCGAGGCACGTAGAGCCTTTTGTAAAACAGGTTCTACAGAAAACACATTTCAAGGTGTTTAGCGTGGTTCCCTCTTTTCTAGTCTTTATACTTACACTAACAAGTCGGGGTTTTTTCTGACATGAACTGAAATTAGACTGCCAATTAAATTAAAATTAAAAGTCAAGCGATAGTACATGGCATGAAAAAAGGACCAAATTGTTATATATCTCGGTCTGAATAAATGACCAGCTTTAAAAGTTTGGTTTTAAATTACTCTGTTGTTCATTGGTAAAATTAAGGAACTTAAACCATTACACTTTACATTTCAGTTTTAACCGTGTCATTTTAATGCATCCTAGGAGCTCCTGTTCCCTACATCAGAATCATTGTGTGTACCACATAGATGTGTTTTCCAACTCTAAGCTTGTTAGAACAGAGCAGCAACTTTTTTGTTTTTTTAACATCAAACGTAAAATGCAGAAGTCAGTTTAAGGAGCATACGGTTTCACCGTCTCTTGTTCAGATCTCCCTCATTGTGGCTGAAATAGGTATCAAGTAACCATGTTTCAGTGACAAATACAAAATTAAATAGCAATATTCCACATGGTAATAGACATTGAATAGTGAAGATCTTTGTCCCAATAAGATTTTTTGTTTTCTCCATCTGTTGTTGCAAGATCAAACATGGACAGTTTTGTCTGTTCTCAAGGTTTTATAGAAATGGTGGAGTGCTATTTTTTGTGAAACATTTAAAGCTGAGCAATGGAAGTAAAGTTTATAATCAGAACTGTAAATCCTTCCTTTTTTTGCTTATCCTGTGATGCCTGTGAAATGGAAGCTTGTAAGTTTTCCGGGCTAGGAGCTGAGCTTAGGAGAGAAGGTCCTGATCTGGGGGTGGGTGCCAAAGAGGATCTGGTATTTAATGCACGTTCAGCTGCGGTCTAGGAGAGAATTGCTGATGAAGCCTGAAGACGATGTTCAAGAAAATCCCCAAAGACCAATTTTGGCAGTTCTTGCATGTTAGAACTGGGAACATTCAGAAGCCAACGATTGGCTTTGTGGGAGGACAAAGTAACACTTGCAAGAGAAACCTTTTCACTTGATCTTTTTTTCTTGTAAAGCATAAAAAGGAGAGTTCCAAAATTAAAACCATGCAATCAGGTAATTTGTAAAGTAAAGAGGAATCTGTCATACTCTCGCCTGTAATTATTTTTGGCAAACCGAAGGTGGAGGTGAGGGCAGAAGGCGTATCGGAGCTGTCAGGGTGCCAGCCCGGCTGGTGGAGGGCTGCGGCAGGGCTGGGCGCTGCTGCTGCTCGCCGCTGCCGGAGGCTTTCCGCAGCTGCGGGTGTGCCAGCGCTGCCACGACCAGCGCGTTGCTCGGCTGAGATGGCTCACCACTCCGCTGACTTCATTTATGCGCTTTCTCGTAGGTGATCAGGCTTTCCCAAATCATCTTTTCTGTTTAGAAATTTCAGATTATTCAGATTAAAATAGCAAAAGCAAACGGTGCCCTTCTTTTGTCACAAACTACCATTTTTATTTGCGACTAGTGTAGCCAATATAGAAGTACATAATATATGTCATCCACTTCAGTGAAGAATTTGAGGAACTGATCGTTTATATGGGAAACAGCATTAAGAAAAAAATATTTTAGCAAATTCTATTTAGATTCAGTTGTGCTGAATTATGTAAGAAACAGCACTGTGCTTCCACTAAGTGAGTTAGAAACTTCTGGTTTTTTTCCGTGGATTCAGCTGATTTAAAAATCCTCTTACAAACATTGGTTTTCTTTATGATCTTTTGGCCGAAATTTTGTTTGCTATATGCTTTCCGTAATTTTGAGGATATCAATATTTGGTAAATCCTGTTAACTTCAGTAACTTGAAAATAGACTGATTCATGAAAGCGATAAATTCAGGTGTCAGTGTATGATACATTTCAGAAGAATAAAACATGTGCCAAAGCGTAAACTGCGTGATTTACGTTGTGTGATTTTTTTTTTTAAGGTCTTGCAGAGTCAACGTCCAGTTTTCCACAGACAAACAATCTAGATTTCATTTCACCAAGTGTCCTGTCTGAAGATGCAGTTGTAATTGTTGATAAAGGTATTGCAAACCCAAAATTATCTCCTATATCTCGTCATGTTATTAAAATGAGGGGGAAAGTACCTTTATGGAGTGGGAAAAGAAAAAATGGACTCTGTGCAACATTTTAGATTGTGAACAATCTCCAGTTTAAACGGGAATAAAAAGAATTATGCTTGAAAGCTCTCCAGTTACTGGGTATGCTGTTCCGTTCCAACACCAAAGAACGGCAGCAAAGTGTGAAGGTTAGGCCTTGGTTCTAGCCCAGTGTGCGCACACGTACGTGCATCCGTCCAACTTGGTGGAGCAAGGTAAGAGCACCTTTGGGTGGAAATTGGCGCTAATAGGACAGTAGCAATGTTTTTATCTTCTTGAATTACGTTTGGTTTTCCTTAGTTCTAGTTCCAGCTAGGTGCTGCTGAATGAAATGGTTATTTTGGTGAGGGCACAACACCGTATGCCTTTCAGGTGTTTTCGGAAGTCCTCCTTCTGCCCGAACATACAGCCAGTCCGGACCGCGTGTAGCGAATGGAGATGGCCAAGCTGTCAAAGCGGAGACTGAGCCATCGTCAGGGATCTGTGGGAGAAGCATCCAGCAGAACAGTGCTTCTCATTTCCATGTTGAAAATGAAAAAGAGGTAGAATTTGAGAACTTTTTTATTGTCTTGCTTCCTGTTTTTATGTGTTTGAATACAGCTCGATACAGTTTTGCAGTCTCTATGTTATGGTAAACAGGAGTTTGATTAAAATAGCCTATAGCCATCAAGCTGCTTCTCCCTGCTCGCTCTTTTTGGTTCCACCTGGATATTTTATAATGGCCCATTGCTGTGTCAGGAGCTTCCCACCGAACTCAGAGTCTCTGGGAGAAGGGCTGCAGGAGGGAGCGGAGCTGGAAAATGTCCTCGTCTCCGACTCCCACAGCTCACAGAAATGTGGAAGGAGGAACTGGCTGGGTTTGATCATGTCTTGTTTTCTGGATGGATGTGTTAATCTAGCTCCATTCATAAGTGCTTTTAAAAACCACTGTCTGAATGTCTGTCCCATAATATGGTTTCATGAGGAGCGGTGCTGCTTTGTTAAATGCTACTTACATCTGTTGTAACGTGGAGCAACATTTATCAGAATGAAGTAGTGATACAGATTTTTAAAAATTGGAAATTAAAATCACAAGTCTTTCTGAAAGCATTTAAAATAACATTTTAAGACGACTAAAACTTGAAGTTAATGATAAACAGTGTCTTAATTTTCTGATTTCTACTGGAGATATGAATACTTGGAGGGATCAAATTCAAGGGACTAAATGGAGGAATGTGTTAAACATTACTAAGTTTTCATGAGGAACTGTAAGCATCTTAAACATATAGGAGAGTAGGGTCAGATCACACTTTTAAAGACCACTGTTTAAAATAAACCCCTGTGTGCTTAAACGTGAGTGAGTTAGCCCAGCCTGTGTATTTGTTAGTTAAAATTCTAGGAAACTACACAATGCTGCCAGGGAATAGAAGACCTTTTCTTGTAGACCTTGGTTCTCTAACTATTCAGGCATTTTAGAGTAAGTGGTTATTTCCCTTAAATGTTTAAACCCGGAATGTTGCTTCTTTTTGCCAGTAGGACTATTTATCATGCAGAAAGCACACATTCAGCTCTTTTCAGGATTGTATTTAACGTTTCTGTGAATAATTTCCTTTTGCTCTGTAGAATAATGGTGAAAATAGTACTTTGCCATGTTTACCTTAGACAATATCAAGAACCGGGTAATAAGTTATTGGGTAACTTGTGCGTTATATTACAGGGTATATCATAATGGGTGCATTAATTTTTTGCAAATAAAAGTTGCTTTGTCAAAATCTGCCCAGGACAAGATGAGGCGGAAGAGAAAAGATGAAAAAGAAGACAGTCAGGAAGAACATCAGGAAGTCAAAGACCTCGAAGAAAAGGAAGAAGATCGTCGGGAAAGACTTAAACTGAATGAACCAGAGAACATGACAACAGAAAGTGAGGATTAGTGTTTGTCTTAAATGAATAATATACTGCTAAGTGCTGCTGGAATGGAAATTAAAATTCTGTGATAATTACCACAAATCACGACTGTTTAGTGTGACATAAGGTATTACTAGAATTAATTGTACACTGCAGTTTACTCTTCAGTCATTTGTTGTCAGTCTTATAATGCAAATGGTGGAGAGCAAAGTGTTTATGGGAAATATTTGAAAGACTGTAGTTAAGAAAAAATTCAAAAGACAAATTAGGGCTGAAAATACTAGTTTCTTCCTTTTTTCTGATTTGTTGTTGTTGTAGTTTGGACATTTCCTTCTATCTTCTAGAGTTAAATCTCTGTGGAGATATATTAACGTCGTCAAGAAATGTATCTTTGTCATTAGAAAACGTTGCCTTGAATCCATCACTAAGAAGAACGTGCAGTTTGAAGAAGACAAAATGTTCGGCCTTGCTAGATTGTGGTAAGTTGTTACAGTAAGCTAAAGACTGTTAAAATATTTGGATATGTGGAGTGGGACAGTTCCAAAACACAGCCAGGTTTAATGTGATTACTCTGTACAACAGACAGTCCTGAGGTGCTCTGGAAGATTAGCGCTTTGGGGGTGGCGGCGAAGGGGATTAGAATTCCTCGTTGCTGCCTTGAAACATTTTTCATCTGTAATTTGTTAGGAAGATGTTTGAAACATGAGAGTTTTCTATTTGCTCAGCAGCTTAAATGATGTAATGTATTAATGGCAAATTGACTCCCTTCTGTCTCCAAGAAAAACATTTCTGGGTACATTTTTTCACTGAGATGCCTTTAAAATACGCAGTAGAAATCTTTTCAGAATAGAAGCTCATGCTGATGATGGTCAAAGGTCTTCAGAATTTCCTACGTGGCTCTTCAAGCTTTACTATATTGTGTCTTACCTCAATGTTCTTTAGCACATTATGCATCCCTTTTTGCATTTAAAAAACCCACTACATTTGTGTTTGTGACTTTTTAAAGTGGTAGCTGTTTGCAAAAAAAAAATCATTCACATAAATGAAATGCTGAATGATGGAGGATGTAACTGGGAAGGTGGTCTTTTTGAAAGCCTGGTCCCTTCGTAGCAGCAGTCTGTACATACCTCACACCCTTGGTATTTCCCTCCTTTGACTGACTTGCTTTCTTCAGATTATGCTAATTATTTGTTATGCTTCGTGACTTTGTAGATGAAATGTCTCTTGGGGCACGAGGACGCTGTAAGGACCGGACCCCATCAGTCACTCACAGCCCAGAAATAATGGACCCCTCAGAACTGCAGCCCTTTGCAAAACCAGAAACGGCACTGACAGAAGCCTTGACACTTTTAGCTGATGATGACTGGTAGGTGTAAACATCTGTCTGCAACCTGAATCTAATGTAGAAGGCGTTTATTTTGATAACTTACTTTAAAAAAACAGCAAAATGGACATAACATCAAAAATAGCGAGAAGGATTGCAAGTGATACATGAGAAAAAAGAAAAGAGTTTTTGCAGTCCAAATCTAGATTAAACTGTAACTTGTAAATCGAGGCTTACTAGCTAGGCTTTCAGAGACACGGAGATGTCTAAGTGTAAGCACTGTGCTGGCGAGGGCCCCCACCAATACCTTCTTGTCACTCTCGGTGGGATACAAGGCTTCGCTGTGCCCTGACTGGCGAGACGGGGTACGACGCTGCTGCCTTTGCAACCTGGGGAAGGGAAGTAATCCTTTACTTGCCACTAGTGCAAGCTGTGGGCAGAACTGTAGGACGGAATTGAGAGACTGGTATGCTGAAACAGTCCTACCACCGCATTAAAAGAAAGACTCGCTTTGAAAGAATTTCTTACGTTATATGTCATTGCTTTATTTTACAATCTAATTTGTTTGCTATTTGGTTTCTTACAATTCTGTGTTTTAATATTTTTATGAAAATTTGCAAATGTTTTGAATTAATTTTTTTTTTTCACATAGGGAGAAGAAAATTGAAGGTCTGAACTTTGTTAGATGTTTGTCTGCCTACCACGCGGCTATTCTGACTGCAAAGCTACATGAAACAAGTTTGGCTGTGGCTCAAGAGGTTAAATTTTACTATCAGAATATTTCACTGACTGTATATGTGTTTCTGTGTTTTATAGCTCTCCGATACACTGAAGTGAAATGGTATGTTCGTCCGGGGTTAGTTTTCCTCTGTTGGACAGTCTCAAAAGGATGAGTTTGTCATTCAGCAAAGCAGCTCATGCTTCAGATACACCACTTGAACTGATTTGCTAAGAGACTGAAAACATTTCGATTGTAACTTTATAACATTTATGTGTATGTACTTTAATTCTCACACATTGTGAATCAAGTTAGAAATGTATTTCTCAGTTGCTTTTAATGTTACTTGAAAGTTACAAAGGGAAACGTTAAGCTTTACTTATTTTAAAGTATATTTTATAAACATTATTCATTGTTTGTTTGGGTTTTTCCTGTGTGCAGGTCAAGAATTTACGCTCAGGTGTTTCTCGAGCTGCTGTGGTCTGTTTAGGGGATTTGTTCACCTACCTGAAAAAGAGCATGGATCAAGAACTAGATAATACAGTAAAAGTCCTTTTGCACAAAGCTGGTGAATCCAACACATTTATAAGGGAAGAGGTAGACAAAGCACTGAAGGCTATGGTTAATAATGTGACTCCAGCACGTGCACTTTGTTCTCTTATAAATGGAGGGCAAAGGTAATTCTTATAAAGACTTTATAAAGAAATAACTTGTGAATAGATTAAAGTTATCAAATACAGTCTTTTTAAAAAAAAATCGAAGTGCTATAGGCAGAAATTTGACAATATAGTAAGTCAGCTCTGCAAAACTTCTCCCCAGGGCAACTTTTGTTGGCGTAAAAGTAAAAGGTAGCCCCCCGGTTTCTTTCTGTACTTTATGTAAAAAGCTGGCTGTTGATTTTGGAGCTTGGTATATTTTCTGGTCATTTTGCAACACCTCAGTACTTTCACTCGCTGGTAGTATAGTATTCTTAAGAAACGGCTATTTTGCTTTGCCTAGTAAAGCTCGCATAGCATTCTCATTTTTCACTTGCTCTGCAATCAAGTGCCTGTCTTTCAGTTTTCAGCACTACTTTTTCTTTAGAAAGATGATTTATAACTTACAATTCTGTAGCTGCAACTATCTTGGTTGATATCCTCTTCTTCTCTAGACTTAGCTGGTTAACAGTCCTTTTTGTCTGCATTTTAATTTCCTTTACAGTGGTGGTGGCCATTTTTTCTTGAGTACCTTGAACAAGCCTCCATTTCTGGTTGCATGGTTTGGTTCTGACCTCTAGCTCACCTCAGTTACATTCCTTTCTTTCACTTTCCCTGCTAAGTATGCTGTTCTTTTTCTTTTATATCCTCATTCACTCTAACAGCAATACTTAATCAAGCCGTTCGGCTCTCCAGTATGTTAGATATGTACCTACGTGTACTTAATCTCTTGCCTATCTGTCATCACTTAGATGACATTTAATAGGCTACATTTCGTGTAGCCTATCCCTTCCATTAAATATGTCAGATGCTACATTATAAAACAATCCTTAGACTTCCTGCACAGCTACAGATCATACAAGTTAGTCTTGATTCAAAATGTTCTGTTTGCTATTTTGTTTCCTGGGAAGCTGGTTGTTGTGGACTGTATTGATTCTGTCTCCTGAAAGCCCGTGAGAACCACACTGCAATTACCTGAACTTCAAACAGAAAGGCGAATATCAGCCTCGGGTCCTAAATTATTTATGAATCGTGCCCGCACGTAGTTGTTTTTGTGAATTTAAGAGCAGCAGACAGTAACTGCACATTGCTTTAATTCAGAGGCCATGTAAAGTGGTCTGTTTGTGTACTCCCATCTTTTCTTCAGAAATCCTTGGCCCAGCAATACTCATGATCATAACTGGCTCCATCTGACCTCCCATTTTCAGTGGCAGATTCAAACACACTGACCTATCCTTAGGAGTTTTCTAGACCTATAAAGATTTGACCCCTCCAGTTTGTGAACTCTGGTATGTTTTCAGATATCTAAGGCATCGAAATTACCTGAGCTGTGAGTCTGAACACAGCATTTGAAGCAGGGATTAATTTCTTCACCGCTAAGAAGACTTCAGTCAAAGCAGTGCCTAAATCATGGAGCGCAGTGTGTTTTAATGCATGACACATCAGTGGCTGGCCTAAATAGCACTGTGAGCTACAGCTTTTCTAGTATTGGCTTCAGGAGGCTCTGGCCATGTTAGCAGCAAAGCCCACACAGCACGTACGGAGCTGTCCTCTCCAGAGGCTGCACCAAGGAATACGAGAATTATCTTTCAGAGTGGAAATCTGGGAGAAAAATGACATGTGTCTGCAGTATGAAGTGGAAAGGTTCTGTTTGACACAGCTGTGTAGTTACACGGAGGATATCTTTTCTAAATTTGGCTTATACATTGAGTTGCTTATATTCACCACAACTTACGTGTTCAAGTTAACAGTTACTGTTTTGCCTACAATTCATAAGACCTTTTAAAATTTACCTATTTCCTGCTCAACACATTTCAAGCCTACTGCGATCATAAGTATTAATTCTTGCAACCCCGAGTAGATATATATACCGATTCTTCGTCAGCTACAAAGTTGTTTTTGACTTTACCAACAAGAATAATTAAAAACGTTTTTGTTTGCTTTCGTGAGATGCCGCTCTAAAGATACTGGACTATTGCTGTAAACTCACCTCTGTGAATAGATGCGTGATCCAGGCGCACGATGCCAGGACTAGATCTGAATGACTGTATTTCAGAAATTTTAAAATCACGTTTCTTACCTGTATGAGTTGTGTTTAATTCTAAGATCTTACGTGCATACAAAAAGATTTCCCACTATTTTGCATGAGCAGCGGGCTTTCGTGGGGAGCGGGGGCTGATTTGCTTCCGTGGAGTGAGGTCTTTAAGCCTCACGGTTTCTGCTCTCCCGTCGGTAGCTGCAGCGGGCGTTCGTCTGTTAGCGTTTCCCTTCTCCCAAGCTCCCGAGGCGCGCGGCTGCTGCACAGATGTAGCGGTGGGTGCTGAGCACGAGCCAAAGCTGGTCTTAAACCAGGCAGCTCAGCAGCAGCTGGGAGGATGGCTGCATCAGCAGGGAGTTTGCAGCCCGGACTATGTTCTGGGCTGCCACGTTTTGCAGCTCGAGTAGACCCGGTTAGGTGTCTTTGTGCAAGCCCAAGCTGCTTGGTGCAGTGTAATCTAGTGGTAGCTTTACGTCCGGCGAGGCCATGGTGATCTGTGGGACCAGAGAAAACAAAAATCTCGGTGAAATGGGAAAAGAGCGCTGGATGTTCATGTCAAACCACAAAGCTGGGCAGCCACTGCTGTGGTTTACCAAGTCAGTTCTTTTCCTTGGCTCTCTCCTTTAAACCTGTTTTTCCCTGTGAATGCTGAGCCATACAAATGTCTCATTTACTGTGCAGTGAAACTGTCCTCAAAGCAGGATTTTTAATCCAAAGATAAAAAGGTTGAATTTGCAGCATTGTGTACTCTGAAAACGTGGGATCAGCAGGTACAGCAGACTTCATATGAAAGCTTAGTTTGCTGCACGAGTTTGAAAGTTGATTCCAGCTTTTCTCTCATTTTCATCAGCATAGGTGTTTAATGGCCCCCGTTTTGTAGAAAATAGACTTCTGCAAGATTTTTAGAAGTCAGTAGAATACTGCTTTATTTAATTTTAAATTGATACAAAATACACAAGATGTGTTTCTGAGCATAGGGACTAGTTTTTCGTGAAGTTGATGGAAAGAACATGTAGTGTGCTTTCTAACATATTTTACAATTATTTTAAGGAAAACAAGAAATTAAATTCTAAAAAGAGGAAAATTACTAGTTTTATTAATCCAAAAAGCCGCAGTTAGAGGTTGAAACTGGCTTTAAACAAAAAGGATGTAATTTTTCATTTTTCATTCTGCGTTGTTGTAGTTTGGGATTTTAAGTGAATGAAGTGAGCTTTAATCCAATGCATTGTCCTTTTAAATGAAGTTATTTGTCTTTGCTCCACAATGTCTGTTCTCTACAGCCAGAATAAGTGTCTGCATATCAGCAGTACACTAGCTGTAGATTATGCTAAAGAGGAAAAAAGAAAACTTGCGTGCCATATTTGGTAGAGCACATAAATGCTGCTGTTCAGCTCTGTGATGAGTTTTTACTAAGCAGCTGTGTTTTCTTCAGCCACCTGCATTCAGCGGTGCGAAGATGCACAGCCCAGCACCTGTCGGACATCGTAGAACGTATGGGACCGGAGCGGATTCTGTCTGGAACCAAAGCTGTCGCTGATCGGATTTTCCCTGCCATCGCCAGGTTTGCACAGGACAGTTCACAGCAAACAAGGTTAGTGAGGTTAATAGTTAAGATAAGCACGTTCCGGGTGGCTGAAACCTCTGCATCGCTCAGTGTGTGTTGCTCTGCAGTGACAGAGGATAGAATCATGGAATCGTTTAGGTTGGAAAAGACCCTTAAGATCATTGAGTCCAACCGTTAACCCAGCACTGCCAAGACTGCTCAGATAGCGTATGTGAGAGGAATTACCTGGATGCCTGCTGCAGCTGCGCCCACCCTGGCTGCAGGAAGAAGAGGGGCTCAAAGGACAGAGGACCGCTGGGCCCAGACGAGGGGTAGGCCACGGAGGGAATGCTGGCACTGGGATCCACGCCGTCTGACTGACAAGGCTGGGCCATCCTATTTAAAAATGGCTGAAATGGAAGATTGTTCTCATTAGTGTGCTCAGTTGTGCATTAAATAGCAGTTCTTGAGCATAGTTTCTTTGTGGGAGGATGAAGAGCGTGTCTGGTTACGCACATAGATAGCAATCTTCCCGCACTTTTATATTTTGGAATGACGCACCTGTAATTATCAGTACAGTTACAAAGCAAATCCATGTTTACGGATGTATATGTCATGGTCTGTTGCCCTGCAGGTATTATGGTCGAAAGATGCTCTTCAGTATGATGACTCACCCTGATTTTGATAAAATGCTTGAAAAGTATGTGCCGACCAAGGATTTGTCTTACCTTAAGGAATGTGTTAGCAGTCTACGTGAAAAGGTATGTGGAAAGGCTGTTGTTTAGCAGCTGAGAAGTGTAAATGTGTACTAGTGGCCGTCAGGTGCAGACAATGAGCCTACAGGGAACGGGGGGAGTGCATTCAGAGCCAGACAAGTAAGGAAGGGGCTACAGCACGGCAAGGTGCTGCTTGTTAGCTGCCCTGTGCTTGCCTTTGCTCCTTGCCGATACACTGGATGGAATGGACTTCGCTCCTACACTTTGCATGGCTGTCAGACTTGCTTTTGCAGGGTCTCCAGCGCTGCAGAACTGTGCCAGCCATGTTAATTAACGGTTGCACCTTTGTGCAGGGCTTGGGGGAGATGCCATTAGATACACCCTCAGCAAAAGGAAGACGTTCCCATACTGGTAGTGTTGGACATTCGAGGTCGTCGTCTACTTCCAGAGATGCTCTCAACATCACTGACAGGTAACGATCTTCAGTGTTTCACCCTGTTAGTAACTTGCCCTCTAGGGTAGTAGCCTCACCACAAGAAGAGGGTACAGAAACATTCACAACAGGGCTGTGAAAAATTAAACATCCCTGAAGGAAAAGGAAAAACTTGACTTGTCCCAGATAAACTCTTTTAAATAGGATAATTGGCAATATTAAAATGGCTTTGTGCATTTTGAAGTTCACTTGTCTATTGACTACCTGTGAAAATACACACAGTACACAAAACACTTGGAATTCACAGGAGATCCACGTTGCCATCAGTTCAAGGTACTGCCATTCAGACTCTATAGACAAAGCGTGCCTACTGGTAGGCATGACCTATTTGTGCGCTTACCCGGACACTAAGTATTTAGTTAGATCCTGGCTGGAGGTGCTGAAGGTTTTAGATGATACTCTGTCCGTTTTTAGTTTTCTGTTTTGTCTTCTAATAAGTCTTTCATTGAACTGAAGAAGAACCCCCCCCCCCCCCCCCCATCCAATTTAAACCAAGCCAAAAAACTGCATCCAAGAATATAGAGTTCATAGGGGCTGTGACTGCCTCCAGGCTGAAGAAAGTCTGTCTGTTCAGGAGCAGATTTCTTTAACACACTCTCTACTATTCAAAATAATAACTAATTCCACATTTGATGGTAAATTTTGCTTTGGCATGTGAAACTACATGTCCGCTTCCTTCGAAGAGGTGCTACTTACTGCATTATGCCAAACTCTCTTATCTTTGATTCAGGTACTTTTCGTGGCCTGCGATACACTAGCAGGACAGGAGATTTTGATGCCACCTTTTGTTCTCGCAGAGCTGATAGGTTTGAATTTGAAAATGCAAGGAAGATGCTTATTCCATTCTCCGTCAAAGACTTATGTTCACAAATTAGGAAAGAGCTAGCGACTCTCTCTGGACTGGTCTGTAAAAGCAGGATACTTATCTGGACAGAGAAGTGATTCCACAGATTTTATAATTCTTTCCATGACTGTCTAACAAGATTAGATGCTACAGAGAATTTGTTTCAAAATATTCTGTGAGAGTTGTTGAATTTCCCCCTCAGCATGGCATGTTGCTTAGGGGCCACCTAGACTGGGATCAGTGTTTAAAGTACTTCGAGAATAAAGAATTGAACTACGGTAACTTTTTTTTTTTTTTGACCTGTTGATGAGAGAAAAGTTCACAACTGTTACTGGTCACAAACCCAGCTGCTCTCGTACGGAAACTTGTAACAGCGCAGGGCTCCTGCCTAGTTGAGGCTTATCTCTTGTGTGATAGGTACATATGCATTTAGAGTGGAATGTATATTGAGACTTTAGGAACAGCAATTACTATTAGGTGATTTTTTTTTTTGAATCGCCACATTTAAAGTGAAAATCCTTCATCAGAAGATTTTCTGTTTACTTCTGATATTGGCACTTACATGGAAAGAGAGCGTCTGAGATTGAAGGCTCCTGTTTCAGCTTGCTTACGTGTTCGCTGAATAACTTTTTCCTTTCCAACAGAGAGACTACAGAAGCCCGTGAAGTCACAAGAAAAACAGCTCCTCGTAATTCACTAGAAAGTGAAGAATATGTTAAAGACATTATAGGTTTATTGAATGCAAAAGACTTCCGTGATCGAATAAATGGCATTAAGCAGCTGTTATCCGATACAGAGAACAATCAAGGCTTTGTTGTTGCAAACATTGTCAAGGTAACTGTATGAAAACATTTTATTTAGAAGGTCTTTAAAGTTGTGTCACAAAGTTTTCTCATAAAAATCTTGGCTTCCCCTTTCAATAAGAATGTCTGATTAACAGGAAAACGTTGAGGAATAGGCGAGGTGTGCTGAAGGGGGAGATACGTGAGCTACAAAGGTAGCAAAGGGAGTAAGGAGGAGGAAGAAGCTGAAAGTTTTCACTTAGAGGGAGCACTCTTGGAACTGTTTCTGGAATACTGCATGCGGTTTTTCATGGCACTGCTGAGTAAATATCAAAGTATTGGAACAGGTTACAAAAAGAGCAGCAAGGATTAATCAGAATCTGAAAAACTGTCTCTGAAACACAGCTGCAAGGTCTGCCTGCTTTGTTTGTCCAGCAGAAGGTGAGGAAAGGTCTTTATTATGATAAACTTAAGATAAATATCCTTTCTAATAGGAAAGGAGGCTCTTTGGGAGAAAAATACTATGATGAGGTCCAACAGTTGTAAACTAAAGATAGATACAATGAAAGGAAAACCAGGATTGTCTTCTAACAGTGCGGTGTCTTTGCTGCGGAACTAAGAAATACTTCTGTGGAACTTCGCAATATCTTAACTGTGAACGTTTTTGAAATCTTTAAACATTCTTTTTGCTAAATAGAGCTATGTCTTGCTAAAAATACTTGCTTGCAGAAAATATTAGTTATACTGAAAGTTACAGATGGCTAGTTTACCTCCATTACATTGTACAGGAATGATTAAAGTTCAGATGAGGCGAGATACAGTTGAATAATACACAGTATAAAAATATCAAATGTTGCTTTACTTCCTAGAAAAAGCATCTCTGGTATTTGCGTGTCTTTTGCTAAGATGGACAACTAAAGTGTAACAATAAAGCAGGAAACGTAATATCCACCTCAGACATTAATTGTTAATTCCGACGAATGCTGTTTGGATACTTTTTCAGATCTTCGACGCTTTCAGGTCTCGCTTACATGACTCAAACAGTAAAGTAAATCAGGTTGCTTTGGAGACAATGCACAAGATGATCCCATTGCTGAAAGACAATTTATCACCTGTGATCAACATGTTAATTCCTGCCATGGTAGACAACAACCTGAACTCCAAAAATCCAGGGATTTATGCAGCTGCCACAAACGTTATTCAGGCTATGTGTCAACACTTAGGTAAGTAATTTACTGTTTCTTAATTTTAAAGAGCTTTAATTGTATTAAATTCTAAATTTAAAGAGTTACTCTTTCCAATAGTTTCCATCCGGTCATTGCATTGTGTAATGAATCATTGGTTTTATTCTCATACTTTTTAAACCATACAAGTCGTCTTAATATTTTGCCAGTCCAATAAAGAAATACAGCTAGCTGGACTTGTCCTAAGTGCGGAGGTGGCTTTGTTATTTTTCCGTAGCAGGTGTTTTTTGCTGTGAGGGTGACTGAGTGCTGGCACAGGTTGCCCAGGACAGCTGTGGAGTCTCTGTTCTTGGAGATACTCAGAAGGCATCTGGAGATGGTCCTGGGCAACCGGCTCTGGGTGGCCCTGCTGGAGCAGGGGGCTTGGGCCAGATGACCTCCAGAGGTCCCTTCCTCCTCAGCCATTCTGTGTGATTCTGTCTTTCATTATCCAGAAGCTTGTCACACTGCTGAATCTCTGACACAGGGCAAAGAACTAGATTCTTGCTGATCTGTGTATGCCACAACTATTTTCCTTCCTCAACTGTTTTACCTTTGGAGCAGAAACTTAGCATTTTCGGTAAATGAATACGCTATGTTCTACCAGATTCTAGGTAGGGCTTGTTAAGATATGTTTTTATGCTTTTATGCCCTTAAATACATCACTGTGTTTTTTGAAGTTACTATATCATAAGTAAGGTTCTTATTTACATTTTTCCATATTGCGTTTATTTCCAGACTGTTTAATTTTCTGTTTAAGAATTTTAACGTGTTTGTTCTTTGCATTTAGACAACTATTTGCTCCTCCAGCCATTCTGCACAAAAGCCCAATTTCTGAATGGAAAAGCAAAACAAGACATGACGGAAAAGCTTGCTGGTAAAGTGATGTTTTACTTTGCATGTTTGTTTGTTTGTGTACCATCCTAATGAGGTGAATTCATTGTAGGATGGTGGTGGCTATATATCTTCCCTTCTGTCACCATAGATTGTGGGCATTAACGATGCAGCAGTTGTCAAATTTCACCCCCTTCTAATGCAAATTGAAGCTATTGCTGACCAAAAAAAAGATTATTATTATTATCGTGTAGTCAGATACGCCCCTGGATAATGTATAAATACCTTCAGCTTATAATAATTTTAATGTGGAATCAGAGAGAATGAGTTTTGGTTTGTAATGAGTTTTGTTCTGTCAGTAACCGAGCGGGATGTACTGTACCGAGAGCCGGGTCCCCGCGCGCCTGCTCCTGCGTGGGGCAGGGGCGCGGCTGCCTGCGGAGCGGAGGCTTGCCTGCTTCCCTTGCTTCCAGTCACCTTCCCTCTCACGGTACTCGCTCCCGCATACCCTTGCCAGGAAGAAACGAAAGGAATGAGTGACTTTCTGAGGTTTCCCAGCACAGAAAATAAACTGTCCTCTAGGGCTGACTCCTACTAACTCCTGAATTTTACTTCTCTTACCTTTTTACTTTCTGCGGTTGGTCTTGTTCTCATTTTAAGGCTCTCACTAATACAGGTTGGTGTTCAGTCGTAAAGGAGACAAGCTGGCAAGCTGAGCTGCAGTCACCACAAAGATGGCAGACCTCGTAATGCTCTTCCTAAACTGGTGTCAGAAGTTCAAAGACAAATTTGGTTAAAAATTGAAGACAAATTTTAATTACAATGTACCTACATATTTTGGTATCGAGGGTTATTACTCACAGAAGCGCAGAATTTTCCTTTGATGTGTTCAGTGAACAAGGGATGTCTTTATGGGAAATACGCTTGAACCAAACAGGCGTTATTTGGCTTACTTTCAGAGTGGTTCTGTGTGTAGCAGCTATGAAATTGAACTAAATAACATAATGGACAGTCTGTTCTTGAAATATTCCTAAATTTACGCTTTCTGAATGTGTTAGTCACCAACCTTTAAACAGTTCATCTCTTGCTGGGATTTTTTCGAGTAGTTTGTATTATATATCAGAAGAGGCCATTCTAGCAAAAAGGCAAACATTTGCAAATTAAATACTTAATTCATGATGTAATTGTCTAAGTAGGGAAAATGCTTCATCTTATATGTATTTATAGTATAAGGCTACTTTGTTCCTTAAATACCTACTGTGTATTTCTGAGATAGAAGGAAAATCATAAAATATCAAATGTTACACAGTGCGCTGTGAGAAATAAAGGCCCTTATGATAATCCTAACTAAAAAAAAAAAAAAATCAAAAACCCCTTTGTTACTTTTACTTGTTTTAATTTAATGGAAAATTGTAATTATCAGCGGTACCAGTGCTGCTGTGTAAAC